ATTAGAAACAAAGAATTTCATAAATAATTTAAACTGAAAAATCTAAATCAAAAAAAATACATAAGCACATACATTTTTTTCAAAATAAGTTCAAAAGTTCACGAAATTGCATATTAAAACCAAGAATAACAATTTTAGTTATTTTCTTTTAATTTAAAAATATTATTTTCGGGAACTTGTGACTTTTATAGTACATTATAATATTGTAAACAGTATATTACAGACAGTGGCATTTTCAAATGCCATTTTTTGGCAAATTAAAATAGACATTTTTTAATGGTGGGGGCGGTCAGGTAGTACTCCCCTCAAACCTGTTGGTTAGATAATGGCTACATAATAATTTAAATCACGAGCCGCGAATCCAACGATCTGTTTAGTTGGGCTTAGTATAGGTTAGGTAAAGTTGAAATAGGTTTAGTCTAACCTAACGCCGCGCCGCTTGCGGCTTTGGCCGGATAATTATTTAGATTTAAATCAATTCGATAACAGCAGCGACATCTACTGTCGCAAAATCATTTTGTACTCTAAAACGTACTTGAAGAACTGCCCGTCACAGCTACTCAAATTCCTAGTTAGATAGCGCTGTCATAAACGAATTACAACGATGTGGCTGTGGCCAAACCCTTATCGGGTTACTCTTTAGGAAAACTTTTTGATGAGCTACAGCCACCCCCACCCCAAATGTTTGTTCTAGTTGTGTTACCAAGTATAATCTAATATATAAAAATATGTGAAATATAGGCACATTAAAAATTATTGAAATCATAGTAAAATGATCGAAAACCGACAAATAGATGTATAAGATGTTTAAAACGGATTTTGTTCTTGAGAAATATGTCCAACAAAAACGTAACTCAAGTCCCGGACCCAAAAAATGTCTTCCAAGAAAGTCTGCATAGTCAATGTAAAAATCTAAGCGTGGTGCCCTCAGACAACTCGATTTGTTCGATGCTGGTCGCTTGGCAGTCGCGTCACACGGATCGCACATAGTAATAATGTAATAAACATATTATTTTATATTATTTTATAGATGGAGACCAGCACCAGTAAACTTAAGGGTTTGGAGAGTCTGACAATTACAGAGCAAATTATAACATATTAATTGCAAAATCATGTAAAAGTCTGGGGGTCTGTAGCTTCAAGGGGGGGGGGGAGAGAGTACAACTTCACGCACATGCCAGATCTAAGTCTCGGATGACGGGAGGCTGGAGTGCAACAACTATTTAATATTGGAGACTCTTTAAAAAAATAATGTTTATAAGTCTTTTGATATAAAAATGTAATTGCTTTTGTGATTTTTAATCAAGTAGGTAAGCACTAGTAAGTAATAGTTGTATAAGACGTTTATTAATTGGATGGTTCAATAAGATTTAATGGATCAACCATAAGCCACTGAACCATGTTTAAGGGACAATTAGTTCACTATTGATTCGTTAAATATTTAGTGATTGTTCATTCGACCCGGCATAACTATTGTGTATTATTATAGTATATTCTAGTAATTTCATTTATTCTTATAGTTTATTATTATATTCTTATACTTAACATGTGGATCTACGGTGTATTTTTTTGTTATGTTTTAGATTCTTAAATTATTAATTATTAATCTATGTATTAAAATATATTATAACTATGCATATGCGCCTTCACTGTATCTATTACACTTTCTGTTAAATTTTTATTTTTGTTCCTTAAAATAAAGATTATTAAGATTATTATTATTATCTTTGTTAAGATAATAAAGATTAATATTTGAGAAACGGGAAACGAAAATTATATATAGGTAGGTAGGTACTTGACAAAAAATTATAATAATAATCGCTTGACAATCGCATTGTATGCTAACATTGGTAATCCTAATCCCACAGATAGCCCGTAGGTATCGCATAAATCGCGCTGGAATCACATCAAGTAGTGACAATCGCATCATATGCCGCAATACGACATGTGTTCTTATTAGGTAGGTATTTCACTGTCCCGGCGAATAAACGTTGCAGAATACATCCATTGTGAATTTATATAGGGATTATGAAGGTAGCTTACAGAGAAGTAACGACTCCGGCACCATGTAGTGAGCCCATATTCAATACACTGTCTATAATACGTGTCTTATTCTAGGTCAACTCCTACTAATTATGTCCTACGGCCCTACGTCTACTGTTCTCGTAAACATTCCATCAGTGGTTCTCGGCCTTTTTAAAACTGCCGCCAATTTGAGAAGCAAAATGTATTGTAAAATAACTATTGCTATTACTGTAAGATAACTATTTGTAAAAATATCTATAATTGATTCTTCTACACTTTTAATTGGCTCTATTTACATCCTATCCAATCTAATGTAAATATTTTCAATGATCATACTAATACAGTTCATTGGTTATTGTGTAATTATACTTACAGCGATGCTAAAATTATTACATTGAGTAATTTTTATTTACCAGTTATTAAAAATAGACATTAAAAAATAGTGTAGCTCCTTCTTGTAATTGTGGTAAAGTAGAATCTGACTCATGGGCAAAATATTTTTCAAATCTTTGTCTAAAGCAATGTAATGCTATAAAAAACATTATAATAATATTGAAGACTGAATCTTATCAAATACCTTAAGCGTTGAAACTTGAAGTGGAGTGTAATTGTATGCATTGGTTCCAACAGAAAATTTATATAACCCTGCTTTATTAGTTACATTTTAAAACAAAAAAATATTTAACACTTGTAGTTTGATGAAACTTTATATCATTACTTAAACTGTGATCATTATCTACTATTAATTGGGATCACGCGTTTCATAAATTGCAAATTAATGACGTGGTCAATGTGATTTATGATATTATTGTCAAAAATATTGATAGACATGGGTGTCAAAAAATATTTTTGAAGTTAACCTTTTTTATAGAATATGATGGATAAACCCGAGGGTGAACAATAAACATGTACCGTAAAGGTACATTAAAACGTTAAACTGACAAACAAATATAAAATAATATTGGCCACAAATATTTTCGTTTGCAAATAAGATAGTAATTCAAAATATTTTACAGGGAGTGTAATCGACTGTTATACTAGTAATCCCTATATTGAATTTGATACTACACGGAAAAACATAATTTTAATTGTAATTTTATTTTAAATGAAAATATGTTCAATCAAAATTTTTAGTTTAGTTTATAGTACGTTTATTGCATATTTGTTACATAATTAGTCCATACCACGATATGCACTTTTTTTTGTCAAATAGGTAGGCTTTTCTGAGAATTGACAGCTAGTCGTTAAAATATATTGTTGAGAAAGTGGAATTTTGTAAATTTACAGACGCCTGATAAGTGCCTATTTCGTAAAGGACCTATAAATGTCTTTGTATTTTCGCATATCCACCAAACCGATTTTATTTCGAAATACATGACTTGATTATTGGTTTAAAGCGTACATAAGGACATTTATTTCGTCTAGAACAATATTCAAATATCAATATTCGATTACTACAACCATTGATTATAAATACTAGTATTTATAATTAATGTTACAACCTACCTACAATCTGGGTATCGCAATACTACATAACGTATATACTACTATATATAACTAGTACTAGTACTTCTCAGACATTTGGATTTCGTTGTTTATATTTAGGTACCTTGTACCTACTACGTAGTATGTATGTATATATTATTATATAATATATTTTTTTTTTTGATTTCTTGAGCAATAGGTATGTATCTACCTATAGTCACTGTATATTATAAAATGTTCATGTTTAATGTTTAAATTAATCCAGTTTCAAAAAAAAATAAATAAAACGTGATATTGGTTTTCAGGTAATTAAGAAGACGGCATACCGCCAATTTGGTAGCATAAAAATCTCCATACATAGAATAACTTATTCTAGAGCAAATTTACTTAAAACAAAACTTACAGTGGGCAATATTTTAGAGACAATCTCATGTCAGTTTTTCAAAATAAATAATAATGCATAGTAAAATAGTAAATGAAAGTATAATAAATAGTGTTTTCATCAATAAATTAATCAAGATATACTTTAATTATCAAAACACGGATATTAAGTTATCGGTTTTACAATGTATAGTTCTATTGATCTGTACACAGAAGGGATTATTTTTTTTTGTTTTAATAAAAGTCATTTTATCCACAAATTTTTTCCGAGTTCCAAATGCTACCCCAAGTGTCCTGGCATCCCCAACTTTGAAGATTTTGTCAGGGTGAATTGGAGGAGGTAGTTAAAGTAAATATATGAAATATCCTAAAATTATTGTGTTCATAAAATTATGGTGTAAATGCGATGTTTTCCGCCACCAGTACCTATTGCCTATCCTAATTTAAGGCAATGGAAAATTAGGAATTTGCGTTTTTATTATTTCGGCGTTCGTCTTCCAAAACGCAAGTCAGCCGCCCGCCGTTTTCCGCCGCAGATAACCTATAGCAGAAATGGCAAACCTTTTGAACGCTGCGTGCCCAAAATTAGTAATTTTTTTAGAGCGTGCCATGAAAAAAATATTAAAAATATAATATTTTATTATACTATAATTTGATTGTATAATTAATGTATTAGTATAAAAAGGTTAGTTTAGGTTATTATAATTTATAGTTCCTATAATATTATATACCTATTTTATAATATGTAAAAGTAAAAATTGTCGAGTGCCCACAATATCTTTTCGCGTGCCACTCCCTGACCTATAGCTACTGTAATATAAAACAATGAATTTTGAATTCGAGGGAAAACGGCAAAACGCCGCGGAATACGCAGTGTTACAATATAGCCCCGGCCTAATAGGGGCTCTTCTTCTAAAACCAGTCTGAAAAGATAAATAGTTTTTTTTCCATGATTATGTTGCAAATTGCAATTTCAACGGAGTGGGTAGCTATATTCTAACTCTTCTAGCCATTATGTGCTGCTTCTAGCGGAAAAACGCTCAATTAGATTCGCCTGTAGTCGGCACTCGGCTGCGGCATTACACTGCTCGAAAACTCGGCGGTATCGTAAATATGTAGCACTGCCGTGGCCTTGAAGACTTCTTAATAAATAATAATATAATATTACGATGCAAATAATTGAAATGGATTGGTAAAACATAATTAACTGAAAACTGGCCATACTGCGGCCAACGTTTCACAATCGAAATTTCAGAGATAAAAAGCTGAGTAACCTACAAGTTAGGTTATATCATGAAAAACGTATACCAGATGGCAGGCCGGTAGTCGGTTCGTCGTGAGAGGGGTTTTTTTTCACATTTTTCGGTGGTCCAGACGTATCATCACAGCCCTCAGGACGCAATCAACAACACACGACCACTGGCTAATCGACTGTTGCTTCTACCTTTATTGTTCTACGATATTATTAACGATTGTATTTGAAAAAAGGTATTTATATGCGTACCGTTGTGTACAAATGACGATGCGCAATTGAGAATTTTATCCCTTGCGTCATAGATTCATTACTTTTTTATAACATTATCTATAATATATTTTGTATTGGCAAACAGCGCACCCAGTGGTGATCGTTATCTGTAGTTTCTTGTCGATGAGTTTTCAAATAAGAGCACCACGTTATCTGATAGTTGATTCGATTAAACGCGGTTAAAGGCCGTAAGCCGTTACTAGTCGTGATATCATAACTCCGCTGCCGTAGTCGAATTGTTGTTCCCTCGCGGGTCGCTGCTGTCAGTATATTAAATTCACAAACACTAGTCTTCAATAGTTCATTGCATGGCTTTTCTAGTCGTCTGCATGGTATAAGATTTGTCTGTGGTTTAAAGTTTGGTCATAACACGTTTAGGTTATTTTCTATTGGATATTTGGGTTATTTCAGTACCTACCTATACTACGATTGATATTTTATTTAAACTATTGATTCATTAGTTTTCCTTCTATTTGGTGCCAACATCGATTTCAAGATCATGGAGATTCATATTAATGTATCAAACATGTGCCGAATTTGTCTGATTGAAGAAAACCTGATAGATATTCTGCTACTTGGAGAGCCGACCTCATCGTGGATGACCGATATCCATCGGTACTTTGGTGTCCAAGTAAGTACCTATGTATAACATTCACTTATGGTCTCACAGGTTTTGCTTAGTTGTAGATTATTGATCCCCTCCATGGTGCATTGATACACCTTGATCCATTCAAATACTTTTATTATGAGAAAAATAGGTTCTTATGTACTTGGTGGTTATTGCGACTCTACGATATCTGGTAAACTTAATTGTGTCATTGTGACTATCACACTATCACAGATTAACACTGTATTTTATTATTTTAAGATATTTTGTAATGTTTTAGATAAAATAATATAAATTGCCAATAGGTCTGCCTAACAAAATTTAATGCATACACTCAACTATGCCAACAAACCAATTCCCTACAACAAACACATGTAGGTTAACTTTTTTTACGGGATTCAATTCTGAAATAAGTAGTATGGTCCTTTATGAATAAATCACAGCAATGTTCTTTAAGTTTTGTTGTGCAAGCTTACTTATATTATTTTGTCTTGCAGAATGTAGATAAAAAATTATCTAAAAACAATTGCATGAAATTAAGTATACCAGAAAATCGTATACATATTCTAGGTAACCAATAAGTATTGAACAATATAATATGTCATTTTCTTAATTCAACCGTGATGATCAAAGATCTATTTCTAATTCTAATTAATTTAAGGCAATCATAATAAATAAACCAGTAAACATAATTAATTTGAATCTTAAAAATGTAGGGTAAGTATTATACTTATATTGAGATAAATAATACCAACATTTTCAAAAAAAAAGAATAAACTTAAAATTAAATGCATTTAAACTTTTAACTTCTAATTTACATATCGGTTTTGTTGTTATTATACTCGTCATGGAAAATAACTTTATCAAATGTAATTTTTAATTTGATCTTAGTTTAAACTTAAATTATATACCTAATTTCATAAAATGTTACGAGGAAGAAAAATGAATAGACATTATATATCCTAGAAATTGTCCTATTTAGTGTTGTTAGCTAAGGCCAATCTAGTAGTTTTGATTAAATGTAATACTATCTCCCAATATGTAGTCTATCGTCTCTTTACAAACCACCTAATTATAAAATAATTATTATATGAGTTTACGGTCTGTCAATGTTTTTTGTTCTTTTATAGCTGGGCTATCTACATCATTATGATTATTGTAGGCTGTGGTGGCTTGTGTGGTTCTTAATAATAGGTGGCCCATAAAAGATACTTATGTAGACTTTGAAAAAAAAAATTTGCTTTAAATAATGTACTTGTCTTCAATTAATTTTTACTAAGATTTTTAAATTCAAATCATTTATTCTTAATTAATTATTTTATTCTGTTTATAATAGTAGATAACTTTAAAATGAGATTACAGTTGTGGCAGATATTGTCCAATACATGGTAGTACATTATTGTTTAGACAATTGTCATAGCAGCACACCACAATAAAAATAGTACTTGTGAGCACGAAAAACGGCAAAAACCTTTTTTTTCTTTTTAATTAACCTTTTTTATGTAACAAACTATGTGCATAATAACTAGAGCTTGAAAGTTGTAGAAGTTACATATTATTATAACAGACCAAGCTAAAAATCCAAGCTACATAATGGTGAGTTTAAAAATCAAAAATCTTAAATGCATATTTCGCATATTTTGTCGATTTTTGGAGAAAAGTGCATATTTATTAATTTTCATACACATTATTGTACCTACATACTTTCTAAAAAAATGTTTTTCATTATTTTAATATTATTAAATATAAAATTCAATGTTATTTAATGTAGGTATTTATTGTCATCGTCTATTCAATTATTGACAACGGTGAAATGCTCATGTTGTAATCTCAAACTCACTAATATTGGGAATATTGGGATGTACTATTTTTAAATTTTTTTTTTTTTTTTCAGTTCGATAAAATGTCAAAAAAGCAAACAGTTTTCCACCATATTTTAAATATTATGAATTTTATTTTCCTCTATTTTCCATTCATTTCAAGTACAAATCAATAACAACTTAAAATGGTTTTTTTTTTATTTTCAAATATTTTTTTAATTGTTGTGAATATTTATTACATTTTTTTTTCATATTTGTTATTTTTTCGTACATAATACATATATTTCCTGTTGTAGCTTTTATTACTTCTGACTTCTGAGCACTAACAATAACCAATTATAATTTACTATAGATTTCTAATAATTTTTTTATGACATTTTTTGGGTAACACATATTATGTGCTCCTCTGCACCATAGCACTAGCCACCACTGATGGTAGATGTAATTTGTTATTTTAAACCTCATTTTTGTATTGACGCTGATTTGAAACCGTTAAGTTCATAGCTACTTGGCATAAGAGAAAATCTCGGTGGGCCTCTTAAAAATAATGTATTGTGTTAAAATATATGTACTTACCTATATCTAAATACATAAATATACATGATATATCTAAAAGCAAATCAAATTTTAAAATTATAAATTCATAGTAAATTAATTAAAAATTATGATCATACTTCTCATACTAGGGACATAATGATTGATAAGTATAAAATGAAATGTGTAAAAATTGTATATATTTATATATTTAGTTCTAAACTTATATTTTAAGTTTAACACACGCACTAAAAGATGATCATAAAAAAATTTTTGTCAAATAGGCCAATACTTTGTTGAGGGCCAATAGAAATTTAAAATCTCAGAGGATATCTCCGGTGCTGAGTGTCAATGTGCCTTTTTTTGTGTTTTACAATGTGTTTATATGCAGACAATTGAATTACTAATTCGATAAATAATAATGTGGAATAATACCTATTAATTTAATATTTTTAGTTAACATTTCATGAAGAGAAGTCTACAAAATTATGCATAAGTTGCTACCGCAAAATTGAAACCTGGCGCAAAGATGTGCTTAATGCCACAAAAAACCAAAATGTTATTGAATTTCTAGATGCTACGGTATGTAAACAACTTTTTTTATTCTGTCTACCATTATATTCCTGTATTTTATAATTTTGCTATTTTCTAGTAATCACACTGTTTTATAAAGTTAAATAATAAGATCACATAGATATCAGAATTTAAATTAAAATATTAAAAAATATATATATTTTATTTTATGTAGCAACCTATGTCAGAGTATACATAGTTAAGCACTGGAAAGGTTAATTAAAAATTAAAATTAAATAATTAATAATACAATATATTATAACTTGAGTATTATTAACTTTATAATTTTAAATACTCCTTTAAATACATCAAAGAGCACTTGTTTGCGTCACAACGATATATCTTTTTAGTATAACCATTGATTTTATAATATACAGATGGCTTATCTGTATACTCTAAAATCAATGGTATAACATCAATTCAAAAAAATTTTAAAAAAACAAACCATAGTAATTAGATTAGTTCTTGTTTAATTTTTATTTAAGAATTATGATAATATTTAAAATAGCACCTTAAATAGCATAGGTAGTTAATTAAAAAATTGGAACATAGTATCACTTACATGTTTGATTTAAATATGGAGACATTTTGGATGGGAAAACTTGTGACTCTTCTTTGACACAAATGTAGAAAATACCATACTAACTTAAAAATATTACTGAGTATAAAATATAAATAAAATTAACAGTTTCTTATATTTTGTCCCTACATCCTTAGGCCTATTCACCCTTTGGTTAGGAAACACTGATAACTTATCTGAAATATATGTATTGTTTTTTTCTATAGATTAAAAAACAAGGTCAGGAAAGAAGAAATAGACAAAATCAATAATTCAAAAATAAATTTAAGATGATGAAAATGTAATAAAATATTGTATAAATATTAAATATTTAAAATATAGCATATTTTGTTATATTGGAAACTTGACTGTTTTTTTTTCTATACTATGATTGAAGTACTTTGGAGTGTTTGCATACCAAACATTAAACTATTGAATAGTTATCTATTTAGCATAAACAATGTAGAAGAGTTAGAATATTGAACTAAATCAATTGTTTGATGTTTCAAAATGAAATATGAGTTATTTTAGAATTAAAATACATAATTTGTTTTATAAAATCAACTAAATAGTAAAAACTGTTTAGATCTGTAAATATTATTACTTATTTATTTATTTGTGTTGAAAATTGAAGCATAGACCTTAAATATAGTTTTTCTTTTTGTATTTAAGATTTGAAAAAGGTATCAAGATTAATCATTAGTTTCTTTTTCTTTAAAAAAAAAATAATGTTTACCAGAAGTCCAAATTGTGGACATTACAAGTGGACTTATAATACACTTTTACTGGAGGCGTTGTTTTTAATATTAAGTTTGCTATATTACATAGTTGTAATATTTACACACAATCCATTAAATAAGAATAAAATTTAAAATATATCATGTGTAAGAGAATCATGAATATCAAACTTTTAAAACCAGACCATTTAATGTTTACGATTAGGACGTGATACCCGCATGTGTTGTCTCCGTCTTACAAGTGCGTACCATAGCAAATTTTACGCTCAGCAGAACACGTGTAGCTCCGTTAGTTTAAAAATTAGTGCGAATTGACCTCTTATAAAATCTAAAGGTAAGATTATTATCTAGTCAACCTCATAGGTTTTTTATTATATTTTAATTTTAACGCGAGTTATGAGTATTTTAAGATGTATAAAAATTTACAATTTTAAAATACTCATAATTCGCGTTAAAATTAAAATATAATAAAAAACCTATGAGGTTGACTAGATAATAATCTTACCTTTAGATTTTATAAGAAGACAATACGCACTAATTTTTAAACTAACGGAGCTACACGTGTTCTGCTGAGCGTAAAATTTGCTATGGTACGCACTTGTAAGACGGAGACAACACATGCGGGTATCACGTCCTCTTAAACATGAATTAAATATTCTATTTTTATTTGTGCCAATTTGTACATTAATATACCTGATTGTTTATTACCAGATTGCATGAAAAATGTATTAATTTAACGGTCCAATAAAATTTACTTTTGATTCGTTAAATGTTTAGTGATTGTTCATGCAACCTAGCATATATCATGTAAAAAATAAATTTTATTTGTATATTATGCACCATTTAAAATTGATGAATGCCTATTTTGTAGTAAATTTAACGTGCCAATATATTTTGTATCGTTATTTGATTATTTCAATAAAAGTGTTGTTAGTTTTAACTTTATTGCACCTATTATTTGTATTCTGTTTACATAAATAACTATATAGGCAAAATACAATTGGCGTTGCTGTGTTATATGTTGGGTTGTAGAACAATATTAATTGTGGTTGGAATGTATTAAAATGTATAAATCTAATATGTGTATGAAACATTTCTACTTCAAATTTCTAAGTGTCTGCTTGACACATAGTCAGTGATCGATCGCGTGTATTTTAGAATTTTAAATTTACCATTTGTGACACAATATATAAGTATAAATATACATTAAAAAAACATTTACAAGGAAATTGCATTGTCGATGACTGTGTATGCCAAAAAAAAAATTTCAATTTGAAAACATTTTGGGTAAAGAAAAGAAAAATTGAGACATAAACGGACTATTCATAACAATAAAGAATTAAAACATTTAAGGAATGCAGTACTTATTTATTATTAAATATTATTGCAACTAATAATGTCATATTTTTTTTTTAAGAAAATCGGGTAAGTGAATGTCGCTCTACTGTACAGAAATTTAAAAGTGAGTCACTGTAATGGATGGTGTTAAATTTGATTTCAATTTTATAAAATCATTGTACGCGGAAAATGATTCTGAGCAAAGATTATCTATAAGTCAGCCTATAATATTAATTAATAATTTAGTATATTTGATGATGTAATTGTGATAAAAGTAATTCATTTTGCTATTAAGCATTAGTACTACAGTAGTTTAAATAGATTTTTGCCAAAAAAAATAAAATTTCAAAAGTAATTGTGTATATAAAATATAACAATATAATCTAAAAATGTTGAGTAGATACCCATGAATAATATTTTTAAATTACAACAAAATAACTTGAATCATTTTTTTTGTTAGGTATTTAATAATAAGTAATTTCTTCTAAATTTGAATATAAAATAAACAGTGTTGTCTGTGTTTATATATTTTTTAAATTTTTTGGTTACAAGATACGACTTGTGTGTGACTTTGTTTTAATTTTTCAAACCTTAGCTTTAAAAGTTGAACATTTTATAAATATTCAGCTACAAAAAGAATTGGTACATTTTCAATTTAAACTTTAAACGCTTGCAAAACATAATTGTATCTAGGTATTTTAATATTTTTCAACTGATATTATAACAATATACCAGAAGTCTTGTATTCAATTTTCAAGTTTTTTTGACCCAACAAATAAAATTGTATTGACAATGATAGAAAGAAAACTAAATAAATTTAACATTGTAAGTGTCAGTCTCAAAACGGGTCAAAAGATTTTCATTCTTTTCATCAAGTATATCAATGAATAAAATAAACATATGGTGTGAATCTCATGTCCTACAGATATTCGTCTTTGAATTACATCAAAATAAATAAACCTCTTGAAGATACAATTTAGAAACTTTCAAATGCCTATAAATAGTTCAACACTAGTCAAAATATTTTGAAAATTTGATGGTGTATAGAAAATGTGGTTGTATACATTCAGTGAAAATTGCACGTATCAACGGTATTTTTTTTTAGATACATAAAAAAATCAAAATCGATTTCGTCAAAACCCGGATTTCCGTAAAATGCTCAATTTTTTGTTTATTTTTCCTACTACATTTGAAAACTATTGGGTATTTTTTGATTTTATCCACCTTAAGTACCAACTAGATTTACTTTCCCTAACCTGAAAAGATGCTGTTGAAGAAAATCGAAGCACTTTTACTGCCCCTGACAGACAGAAAAAAGCACACATCATTGTAAAATCAATGTTTTCAACGCTCCGCTCAAAACCTAACAATAAAGAAAAGTAAAATAAGCAATAGTACTATCCATGTAAAAGTATAAAATGTTGAAATTACTGTATCTTTAATTTGTTTATCAAAGCTATAATTCCGGTACTAGGAAAAAAAGTACGATATTAGGTCTCTCTACTTTCAGAGATCTGAGAAGTAGGTACATTAAATTCTGAAAGTAAGTATAGTTTTAAATTCATTAATGTATAAATTACTACCATTTGAGATAGGTATTATTTAAAACTGCATAGAATTAATTTTTCCTTTAACCCAAAATGTTAATAACGTTTTGACTACACCTAAAAAACACTTAGGTTGTAAGCATGTAAATTGTTATCTAATATGCGCTACCAACTAATAAGGTGATGTCAATAGGCGACAGAGGCAATTTAGTATTCATAATTTTATTGTAAGCATAATGATTAATTTGTTCTTAAATCTTAATGGTTCTTTAATTTCATCAAAACACATTTTGTTGTTTTTAAATCAACCTTCAGCTTGCTGTTATTGCTGTGGCCACGTGTAAAATCAATTTGGAATCAAAAGCGACTTGTAAAATATTAAAAATAATTGTTTTATCATGAACTCAAATACCATATTTTAATAAATTTGTATTTATTTAATAAAAAATTTAGAAGGTTTGTCATACAATTTCTATCTATTTCTTCTTAAGTTCAATTATTTTTTATTACCTCGGCTATTACATATAGATAATTATAAGTTGCAACTACCTATTTTGTAGGTACCCACATTTATATTGTTTAACATTTTAACGAGTTATAGTCTGTGTTTTTGGAGATTTAATTAAAATTTGATGCATGCTAAAACTTAATTTGCTAGGAGCTGCACATTTCAGAATCATTGATGTTGTTAATAATAATAGTTTTTGTAGTTTTTCTGTTGCATCATTATTTTTAGTACTTTAGCTCTAAATAGTATAAACAGTGAAACCAGAAAAACAGTTGCATATTGGAGAGGAAAATCGGAAAAGTGACCGTGGAAACATCACAGAATACATTAATAATATATATTTTATCATCAAACATCGTTATCATTAAATTTAAAAAAAACTACCTATTTTGCTTGGGTCGTGAGGGCTAACCCGAGTTAACAACTTCTATATAGTGGGTAAAAGAACGAGGTAACTGCAGTGGCGTATTTATATGCAGGCACTATAGGCACAGCGGCAAATTTTGAGGGGCGGCATATTTTTCAAGGGATTTTTTTTTCGATAATGATGGCATTGTATATTGACTTGGTAAGACTTATTAAATCGTTGTCTGTTATTGTAAAATACTCTAATAACTACAACAGCCTACAAGATTATTTTAAATTATTGAAAACAATGGAATTGGTTTAAAATAGAATTCGAATTTATTATTTTTATAGTTTCTTACAGCCGCGTGCCGTCTATTTTAAATATTCACGCCGCGGCGGCGCGGCCAGTGAGCGTCTACCGTACATATTTATAACAATTGACAATAATAGTATAATCCAATTTTTTCAACTTGAAAAAGACACCAGTCCTACAAAACGTTTTGTGATTTATTCGAAGTACTACTAAAAATTACATCTTTAAATTCTTTGAAGATAGTTCAGTCCGCTGAGAAATTACAAAAAATGTACCGAATGATTTGGATAATACTTTTTCGTCAGAATGCTTACATTTGCAATCTTATTTACTGAATAGTAATATGGATATTGACATCGATAGTTTAACTCCAATCACACTGTGTCAGTATTTGAGAGAAAAATCTTTACATATTGAAATATTTCCAAATGTTGACACTGCATTAAGAATTTTCGTAAATGTACCAGTGTCCAATTGTACTTCCGAGAGATCGTTTTCATGCCC